AGACATTCCAGCTCTACTTGAGGTTGGCTCCTCGTTCGAAAGTTCTTTCTGGTCTTTCTGGGTAGACATGGCAATCTGATCTACCACTGAACCTCTTGAGCAATCTGATCTACCTCTGAACCTCTTGAGCAATACTTGGCCCCATCAGTGACATGCACGATCTCTACTTTCAATCATCCACAGTGCACTCCAAGACATAAAGTCTTCATGCGTATTGGGCTCAAACAAAAACAAATCTACCTTCAAATCGAGTGACACTGAAACGACAACTCAGAAAGTGATCTTTGCCTAATCATTCCAGTCACCTGATACGCCTTTTCTTATCACTCCCCCTCTATGGACCAACTGAGTTCAAGATCCAAGACATGCCTCAACCGTTTGCAAGAACCATGTACCTAACATCCTCAGTTCCCAGCCTTTGCACTCTGATCCATTACCTCAGTGTCCAGTGTCCAACCTGGCAATCAGTCGCTCTCCCAGATTATGCAAATCAGTTCTTCTCGTCCTTACCTTAGTGTGTTCCAATTGCAAGATTGCAGCAAGTTACCTACTGTCACTTCATACTGCCGAAACGAATCTCCTACGTCCAGGAACATTCCATCCATGCATACATCTCCAGATACTCCGGCGCAGCCCTGCAATAGTGACCCTACGCTAGCAATACGTCACGCCATGACACAGACCCCTACCAGAATACTGCCAAGACAACATGGACGCCTTCCACAGACTACGCACCTACACAAGGTGAAAATAAAGCTTGCTCCAACAGAATCCACTGTCATCACAAACCAAACCCAAAAAACTCAACTCCTCCATCCAAGTCACAAGTGTCCTTCCCAGGGCTGACTAATTCTGCATGCTCTTCTACAGGTACCACTGTCGACAGTTTACACGGGCCCACTTCTGTCCAGCCTACCAAGCACACACCCTGCCTACTCTTGTTTGACTTGCAAACGGATGGTCACTTAAAACTAATAGATCCACGATCCTCATGACTTGTAGAAGTCAATACACCCAAGAAACAGAGTTTCAAATTCACCTGAACCAAACAGACTCCAACCAACTTCACACTCCCTAGTGACCTTATACCTTCAGATCATCACCTCCTGTGAAACAGGTGCACCTTAGTACGAGCTCATCTCTGCCTCTGCGCATAGAACACGGAGCTCCAATATCCAAGATCCCAATCTCACCTTAGATGACGTCCTTAGCATCTTGTCACAAACAAGGGTCAGCGGAAGATGGTGTGGGTAGCCCTTTTCAGAGCTCCGCTACCATGTGAAAAACGTAAACCCAAGTACACCTCTCGTGTACCCAAATCAACGCTTTCGTTATATCACTACGCCAGACGCAAACACCTACTGTGGTTGCGGCCCCGCAGTTACTTACTTCTCTGCAATGTCAAATAAAGGAACTTGTTCCACCCTGACTCCTAAGTGCACGTCAGACTCCTTCTCTCTCCAGACGCCACACACAACGGAACAGGTCAACAGGAACCAGGGCAGGCACACCACAAACAAAGGAAAGAAGCAAGGTGTTCCAGTGTGGCTACTGTTTCAAGTGCCCTAGGTGACACTGCAGTTCAGTTCGCTTCGGAACATTTGAAACCACTCCCTTGAGCCGATGTCTCAACTGGGAAACTCGATTCCAGGTTTCCAATACACAACCTTCCCTCAAAGGTTGTTGAGACAATTCCAAACTGCTATGATATACAAATCACCTAGTCACAAAACGTCAGAAACATTTCCAAAAGTTCTCAAGTCAAACTGGTTCTCGTCCAAACGCAAATAACCAGCTAGCCGGTGTTACTAGTCTCTACCAAACGTCTAGACTAGTTACACGGCTATTCAAGAACGAAATGATCCATCCAAATTCCTTTACAAAATCCTCTTGCAATACAGAACAACATGGAACCTCCTGTTCCATCTCCAAAACAGTTCTTCACACAGAGATATCTTCTCATAGCTCCAAACTACCGTGGAGAACAGAATGTTCTGCTCGACTTCTCAGCTAATGTCCAGTCATCAGCAGTCATAGCGCTAAAGTAGTTCGCTCACCACAATAACCAAACGTCAGCAATAAGTCACAAAGATAAAGGTCACAAAGTAGACTTCCAGGTCAACCACCCAGAGGTTGACTACTATACGTAGGCATTGTCTTCTTAATGCCGAAGTATCAGACTTCCAGATCAAATACCCAGAGGTCGAATACTTTGCGTAGGCAGTGTCCTCACAATGTCTGAGTATCAGACTTCCGGATTACCTACCCAGATGTTGAATACTATACGTAGGCATTGTCCTCACAATGCCGGAGTATCTCACATACTCGCAAGAGGTAGTCAAAGGGCTTCATAAACATCTCGGATGTTCGAAGCAACGTCAGGAATTGAAACGGATATTCCAATACCATCTCCGAGATCGATGAAACCGCATCATCCTGACTCAACTGTCTAACGAATGCTTCTGGAAGCATTCGTCCATTGTCATAAAGCTAAATAAAGCTTCAAACTGTATTCAAAGTAGCTTGAGCTCCATGTAGATTCACTCAGACTCACAGGTCGACATCTCAAATCATCTCTTGCAGCTCCAAATAGCATAAAGCAATCTTGAGACTACTTAAGTATGATGCAGACACCTTCCCATAGTCCAGTTTCACTACCGAAGGCTCAATGAAAGTCAGGTCGCACCAATGCCAAGTTGCACCCCTTTTTTTTCCGTCCAACGCCGTATGGCTTCCGCCAGGTCGTTCAACATGTTTCCAAGCATGTTGGATATTAGATTAATTAATTAATTCACGCAATGGCCGAAACTGTAGTGGCCGCAAAACTGGTAGAGGACCGATACATAGTCCTATTCCCTTGTCACGTCATCAGAGAACAAAAACCGAAACACAAAGAACCAGAAGCAAAAACAACACAACACAAAAACACAAACACAAACAAAAACAACCCACACAAAAAACAGAAAACCACACAACCCCAAGCAGTGACGTGACGGGTACCAGTTAGGTGAAAAAGATCTGTTGAGACAAGAGGTGATAGCTTAGTATCAACTCGGCGCATGCAGATGACAACTTATGTGTCATGCTGACGCAGGCCCTTTAACAAAAGCAACCGAAAAAAACACAAAATCACCATGGGCCATTCAAGGGTGCGCGAAGCAACAAAGCCCAATGCGGAAACCAGGGATCCCCCCAGCCAGGATCCCCGAGATCACAGAGGGCAGCCTTCATGGCATAACAGTCACCCTGACACTTTGAAACAAACACCGACAACGCCGGGTCGCAACAAAGTGGTGAGAAAACTACCGCAGTGAAACAGAAGAGTGAAACATGATCTACGGTGAAAAAGACGGCGCGGCTACAGCACTCAGGGCACCCTCAGAGTCCGCTCAGAACTGCTTTTCCAATCATCATGCTGCATCAAAGTTTGGGAGGGGCACCACTATGCTAGTGCTCTTGCAATGCGTCTTCATGGTATGGGAGATTGTACTCATCATCAGTGCGTGGTGACATCTGTGCATTGAGTTCTTCTGATGATGTGCTGGCTCCCCTGGCTGTATGGTGTAGCTGCAGTATGGCTTTCTGTGCCTGGGTTACTTCGTAACTGGCAGATATAGTACAACTGTCCAGGATACAGCCAATCTGACGGAGTTGGCGTATAGTCGCCTCAATGTCACTGACCCTCTGGGGTGTGAAAATCCAGAGACCCAAGTTACCTACGCGACGCAACGCGAAAACCCTGGGGTCGGCAGCAAGGGCGAAAAACCCAACAACACAACCAAAAAAAAACCTTCCACTCAAACACACAGTCCGTCTCTCTCAAGTTCCAACTTTTGCTCCAGCGAACCGAAAGGAAACAACAAAGTCTGAGCTTGTTTCCTGTCCTGTTGCTTTGACTCCTATTTGAACCAAGCTTGGCCCTTTTGAGCCTCCTTGAGATGAAAAATGTGCGGATGCACACACATCTCTGTTTGAATGTCCTTTGACATTCCAGGGCAAAAAAAAAACTGCTGCTGCTTCGGCACTAAGATTGCCGTTTGCTCAAACACATCGAAAACTGGTTTGTACAGGTTGTTTGTTTTCGATTTGTTTCAAAAAAACTCACGTTCAAACATGTTCTCATGCAAAAACAAACTCTCACGTGTTCGGCTGAAACTCCCAAACTTCTCGTCTGTTCTTCCAGCATCCAACGGTGATAAAACACCACCAAAACGTAAACAAACTCCACAATCTTCATTGCAAAGCTTCCCAAATAGTCTTGATCTAAAGACCCTGACTTCTGGCTCTCGAAAATAGCGATGACGACAGTCTTCGCTCTTCATTCCAACCAAAACACAAAGTTCAAGCTCCTGTGCATGTATTGTTCCAGCTTGAATCTCTATGAAGGCATTGCGAAACGTTGATGTCACCAAATCAATGGTGATGAAATCTTCTCATTTGCTCAATGGTCATGAGAAAATTTCACCAAAGCTTCCAAATCGCCTGTTGAAGGCAAACCATTGGCGTCACCAAACCATTGGTGATGAAATTTTCCCATTTGCTCCATCTTGATGAGCAAATGTTTCCAAAACGCCTATTGAAGGCAACACAACTGTAACTTCTCACCATGGACACCATTGTTGGCGAAAATCACAGTAAACAAAACCGTGCAGAACTCAGCGGCACAAGGTGGTAGCAAGGTGGTACCATATTTCCACACCCCCACTTGCCGTGAGTTCGAACCATCTGAAAGAGATCAGCGACATTGTGGTGATCTTCCATTCCAGTTCCAAACAAATTCCTTTGAATTCCAAAAAAACCGTAGATCATATCGATCTTGTAACACCAAAGATCCAAAGATCTTCCATCTGCAGTCGCAAACAAATTCCTTTCTTTCTTGTCCAACACTTCCCATGCAGTTGTGCCCGCCTTTAAAAGGCTATTGTACTTGCTCCCAACCAGCTGTCATTCCATTGAAAGCCAATCCAGAGCTCATAGTGCATAAATCCCACATAGATCGCTCACTTGAAGCGGCGCTCCACCTCAGTTCCTGGGAACAGAAGTCCAGAGTCCTTGTTGGACTTCTTTTCAAAGGCATCCCGATACTTGACAAAGTCCATGGCGACCTTGCCAGCAGTATGGGTTGTCAGGTGGCTCTTGCACCACTTGCGGTATCCCGCATACTCCGGGGCTGTCAACATCTCATTGTAGGTCACATTGGCTTCGGCATATTTGCCAAAAGCAATGACCGTGCGGCCCCATTGCTCCATGCTGGCAATGCCCATCGGCAAATCCAGCTCCACACTGGTGTAGTCACCTTGAGGTGGCTTTTCTCTGACACTTCAATCCATGGGTTATCCATAGAACCCACAGATTCCTCGTCCACATAGCGGCGCTTTGAGCCATCGCTCATAGCGGCTCCACGGCTCTCATTCGTAGCAACCACCTTCTTGGCCATCAAGGCCTGCAGCTGCTTTTCCTCTTCTATGCTCCATGACTCAGCCATGGCTTCAGCAACTAAGGCGAGGGTAAAAAGTCTGTGCTGTTTGTTGCTCGGAGCGCAAGTCAGACCCTAAGTGACAGACTTTAGCGTCCAAGTTTCCGGCAAAAAAAAACAATCCGCCACATGTCAAATGCTTCGCATGAGAGTGGACATGACTGCAACTGTGAAACTGACTTTTGTTTGGCTGTGCTCTGTGCTTTGCTAGAGCTCTATATAAGGTCGCGGCCATACACTAAGGTCATGACAAAACCTGTGAAACTCTTGGTTCTTTTCATTCCAAACATCTGCAAACATCCATAAACTGACATGGTTTCCAAAAAAAACGTTTATCGTTTGATTTTCCCCGACTCTTTGAACCCTTCTTTCATGGCATTCAAGATTCCTCTGGCTAAAACTGGACTGTATAAAGCTGTTTTCCCAAAATGAACTTCATTCAACGCTGCATGTTCCGGACAGTCGCACTGACCAAATCTCCTTTCTAAGCTCGTCACAAAAGCTCCGGACGTTGAAACGAAACGTAGCTGCTTGCCAATTGGTAGACAGCTCTTTCCGATCAAACCAGTTTTGCACAGTCGTACTGTTCCTGAGAAAATCAAACCACTCCTTTCAAGAGTCTTGTGAGTAAGTTCACGGTCCCAAATCTGGTTGTGCTTCGGCAGTTCGAATGACGCTTGGTCACCCAGGCTAAGGTAAAACGAAGCGGACGACATGACTATCTTCCATGTCTCAGTCTCACCAACTCCTGCATGGAAATTCCGAAGAGGGGATCCAGTTGCACATGGTGTGGAAACATGTACATGAACCAACAAACCTTCCGTTTTCTGTTGTTCTACAAAATCCCGAACTCTTCGTTGAACTCCAAGCATCTCCATGTTTGATGAAACTCCCAAATACCTAAAACCCGAGGTGGAACATGCCCTTTTCAAAGCTGAATCCTTGTCGCAACAGACTTCAAGGAATGCATAGTATGCAGTTCTTTTGGGCATGGCCTCAACAAACAACTCTGCCAAATCTTGCACAGGAAAACCAACTCTGTCAATTCCAAGGGTACTGCGGTGTCGATAAAAGTCCTTTGAAGGCAAACATTTTGTGAAAAGGTCTGCAACATTCTCAACCCCTTGTTTATGAATCAGAGTAATTTCCTCACTCTTCAGTTTGTCTCGCAACCATTCCAACCGAATTTCTATGTGTCTGGACCGTTTTGGTAAATCTATTCCCTGAACCAACTGGATTGCTGAGCTGCTGTCGCTTTCCATGACAATTGGAACAATCTCACCTTCGTGTTGCCATCCCAAACCAGATACAACCCTTTGAATGAGTATGGACAGTGCTACACTCTCTTGGCTGACCAACTGTAACGCGTACAATTCTGACTCACAGCTGCTAAGGGCCGTACTTTGCTGTTGTCTGGCTAAGGTCCGAACAACACCGTTCTGAAATGTCACAACCCCGCCTGTGACACCCCGCCTCGAGTTGAACCTCCAAGGTCCATGCGATGCGTCACTGAAGCTGTGCACCATCAAGCTGCCAGGTGAGTAACCTTCGGCAGTCAAAGCATCCGAACTCTCTGATGGAAGCCGCAACGTAACATTCATGTCGTTTCTCAAGAATCTCAAAAGACCTCGAAGTGCTGCTTCCGTTCCCTGACATGGTGACTGCTGTTGGGTTCCTAACAGTGACATGTAAAGCTTGAGATCATGACGTGACTGGCACATCCACATGATTTTTCCTACAGCTCTGCGAAAACGTTGGTATCCTTCAGTTGAAAGGGGCTTCATTGCCTCTTTGTCTGAAACTGTTTTCTCCAAGTGTTCAGCAATGTTGGGTGCTGCATCTGAACCCTTTAAAATACCAAACTCCTTGAAAGTTGAATCCAAATAAGACGGATTTACCAAAATGTGAATAGCTGACTCTTCCGGGTTTCTGAACAGTGTCCTACCAATGAAACTGAGTTGACCACCTCCCAGGTGTGAAGGTAAGATTCTGCCTGTCGTTTTCGTTGGAACAACCTTTGAAATTGCATCGCAAATGACAGATTCCGTTCTCTCACAAGACGTTGCCAACAGAATGTCATCTACGTACACTAACAACATGGCAATTCCCAGTTCTTTCCCCTTTGAGTCCAAAACTTTTCCTTGGTAAAAACATGGTTCCAAAGTGTCACTCCACAACCCTTGTCCTTGAATGGTTCCTGCAAGAAGACGAAGCCAAGCTAAGGAGGCATCTCTCAGCCCGTTCAGAGCTCTCTTCAACTTCAAAAAGGCAACTGAGCCGTCACACAGACTCACTGAAAGCGGCAATCGTAGCAAAACGATCTGATCCTCGAGGGGACTGTGCATAAAGGCATGAGAGATGTCCAACGATCTCAAGAAAAGATTCAGCGTGGCACAGGGAATCAACATCAGGTGCAAAGACTCACAAGATGGTGTAGGGCTTGAATACCCCATCTTTCTAGCACTGGTTCCACGAGCTAGGTCTTTGGCGACAATGCGACATCTGACTCTGATTGCTGATTTAAACGCACAAACCCAACGAGCTCCAATGACCCTGGCCGACTTGTTGACCTTCTGAACTGCCTTAGCTTCTGCTTCGCTCAGCAGGTCTCCAGTCTGACAAGCTTCTAAATTGTTGACTTCTTCCTGCATTCCTTCAAAACCCAAATTGGTGTCCAAGGACTCCAACGTTTGATCGTCGATGATGGTGTCTGGTTTCCAAACTCTCACCTTACCACCACCAAGTCTCACAGTAACACTTTCATGCCTAGTGTCAGGTCGAAACTGAATTGCAGAAACTGTTTCATCACTGGAAAATAGTTCTGGTGAAGTAATCCGTTGAAACCCATTTTCATCTGTTTCTCCTAGATGTTGTAAAGGCTGACATGACATCGAACAACACCATTCTGGTTCCTGATGAACAAACAAACTGTCCATCATCGGATCTTCCCGAATTTGCTTTTCCAAATCTGAAACATCAACATCTGCAGTGCGTTTCCGATCATCCCCAACACTTGACGAATCCATGTCGCCCACCGGAGTGGGGCTTCCAAGTCCGACTTCGGGCATGTTTGTATCACCATCTACATCAACCCTAGTGTCCAATTCCTGTCCTTGAGTTGGAGTACCACCATCAACAGGTGCATCTACAAATCTCTCTGGTGTGGACGGCGAATGCACTTCCGTTGAGGCACCAGGTGAAGAGACTGACTCTGGGCTATTCTGTGCTTCAAAAGCCTTCCGACGACGTTTGCACTCAGCGTTGTGACGGCTGCCAGGTGCATCCATCCCACTTTCACAAGCAGGACAACGTCTTGTTTTCTGAAAAACCCTGGAACTCTCTGCAAATGAAACACGTTGACCCTTTTGGGAATCTGGTGACTCAACTTGTTTCCCCATACCCCCACTTAAACTGGATTTCGGTGCAACTCCTACAGGACCTGATGAAACCTGTTGCCTTGAAGATGATCTCATTGGTTCCCTTTCTAAGACCTGTTCGTCCCCATCTTCAGGTGGTTTAATTTCATCCTGAGGTCCAGACTCAGCTGCTACAATCCGTTTTCGTTCGGGGGATTCTCCAGTCTGATACAAAAACTCACTGCACAACTCCAAATCCCATTTCAAAGGTTCTACAACTCGTACATTCCTAGCTGTAAACCGAACCAAGGTGAGAACTCCATCCAAACGTACCTTCCCTTGCACAACTGGTCCATGAGAGGTCCCACAATGTAAAAAGGCTGCTTCAATCAGTCTCGTTTCGTTTGGAACTCTCTGTTTCACTGAATCTGGTAACTCAGCCATGACAGTTGTACAAAACAAAGAAGATGTTGGTTTGGACAGTCTCCTACCACATGCATTCTCAAGAGGGCTAAGGTCGGTACCTGGTGTCTTGCTGAAATGGTTATGGCACAGCGACAGGTATGTGAGGGCGGTCTGAACCGGCTCATGTGCAAACTTAATGTCAACTCCACACTTCGACATGTCTGCTCTCAAGGTTGAAAGACTCTCCTTCAACCTTCTGACACATCTCTCAGCACCTCCTGTCGACTGGTGTTGCTGCGGATTGGATCGGCGGACAGCGAAAGAAAACTGAGATCCTGATTTTGTGAAGAGTTCTCCAACAGCTTTCTCTGCATCTGTGTGTATCAAAACTGACGTGCTTGTTGATGAAATTCCACATTGCTGCAAGTACTGGTTGATCTGAGAGTAAATTGCATTCTTGTCTTCCCCAATGACGATGTAGCCCACATTGTTTGTGGCCAATTCCACAACAACCAAAATCTTAAGGTTCTCCTGGTTCTCCATGTGGTCCAGAACTTCCCCTTCCTTTTTGAGCCAACAGAAATCCGCCTGAAACTCAGTCGACAAACCTTTGGCTGTTCTGCGGCGGTGCTGAAAAGTTGAATGCCCTCTGGCGCACTCACTGCAGGCTGGGTGATGGGGAGTATGACCCTGTCGTCTATGTGTGGCTAGATCGACTTGTTCTGATTTTGAAACAGGACACAAACATGATTCCGATTGTTGTGAACCCTCAGCTAAACCAGAAAGAGCAAACTTGTGGTTCATCCAGTCCTCGTCCAAACTTTTCCATGGATGTAAACGTACCCAGGGACATCCACAAAAATATGAAACTTCCATCATGGTTGCACCGTCTTTGTGTTTCAAAGAAAAACTGTCTGGTGTTTGCGAAAAATACCATCCGGACTGACACAAAAGGGTGGTTGACAGTATGTTGTGCTGAATCCTACCAACCAAAACGTGCATCTTGGCCTTTTTCCAAACTGGTGGCAACCCTTGTTTTCCCTTTTCGGACACAAGCATGGACACTTGCAGGCTGGCAATCCCACGCATACCAACGTCCCCACCATTGGCAGTTTTGAAATTAGGCATTCCTACATCCAACGGCTCATCAATCCCAAACGCTCGCATGCACGACTCAGCAAGAACAGTCGCACTGGCACCACTATCCAACAACCACCAAGAAGCATCCTCATAGGTCATATGGGACAA